TGTGTGTGTGTGCGTGCGTGCGCGTGACAGAGAGAGAGAGAGAACAACAAGAAGTTAGAAAACTTTAATATAAAAACTATTAATATTCATCTTCGCTTTTGTCGTTAAAATGAATCAATTTGATACGAAATTAAGAGAAAGAAAATAATGGTTATGATAATTTAACAAATAACAATCGTGCTCTATTCAATTATTAACAAGAGTTATTTTGATTAGAGTTTTCATAAACGTGGTATCTCTGAAACCAATCAATTTTTGATAGGAATACTTTAATCGACGCTTTAGGACATTATGGCAAAATAAATAAAGATTTTCGAGCAGTATATGAATTGTTTTTATGGTTATGGTGACATACATTTAATTTTTAATTTAATACATAAATTTTTTGATTAAATTTATTAGGAATAATATTAATTTGATACATGCTCCAACTAATATTATTCCTAATAAATTTAATCAAAAAATTTCAATGTAAATATAAATTTATTAAAATATCATTTTAAATAACTTATAAATAATTTAACAAATAATTTAACAAATAAATAATTTAACTAAATTATTATTTAAATTATTTTAAATAAATAATTTAACTAAATTATTATTTAAATTATTTTAAATAAATAATTTAACTAATAAATAATTTTAGTGGTGAAACATTGTTGATTTTTATATTATATTGCCTTTCGAATATTTCTATATTTTTATATTATTTTGCATATCAAGTATACTGTTTATATACATAAGATAGTTCGAATGTAATCGAATTTTCGACAAAGTTCTTCATTCTTGATTCGTTAATTTGAATTTATCGCAAATTCTACGGTATAACAAGAATCGGTCGGTCAATTACGTGTATAAAGTTACATTACGAAATCAATTAATTTCGTTCGACAACTATATGGATGAACATATTTGTGCAATAAATTGAGAAATTGTTTGTTATTTAAAAAACTTCAATAAATTACTTTTCGAAAAGTTTGTTACATATTATGAATCTGAAATGTTTGATATACTTCTGGTATGTAAGATTTGATTTAAATTCAATTTAATTTCGATTCAGTCAAAAGGAAACGAACATGTAAATTAAGATTGACAATTTATACGCTCGTTTTCATGCCGTTCTTGTTCCAATATGATTATATAACGTCGAGATAGCTATTTTCATATAGATATATGTAAAAATAAAGTAAAATTAATGTACAAAATAAAATATTAAAACACAGAAAAAGAGGAACAAGTTTGTTTCTAAAATAACTGGGATTAGAGAATTATAGAGGAATAAGTGTAATAATAGTCTGATGGCAGTGCAATTTAAACGTTTAAAATACGGAGGTGAGATATGATTATCACGAGGCAGATTATAAACGAAATTTTGGATTATTTACGTAACAAGTAGTAATAAAAGCGTGTGATAAAAGCGAGATAAGAGGAGCAATCTGTAAATAATATTCTTCTATATACATTTTTGGATTTTTTTCTTCCTTCCAAAATAAATAAAGTAAATGAATTACGTTCGTAAAATATTGCTAATGGCTTAAATACTTTTGTGGATGTGCTGTAGTTCGATAACTCGACAGAGGCGAGATATTCGCATGAAGGCTGCATCGTTTCCAAGTACATATCTCAAGCCCGCGTGCATACATGTATACGTGTCCATTGGTAATTAAGTTAAGTACCGAAAAAAAAAGCGGCGAAGTGATCCCGCAAGCGATTCATCGGTTTAAATTAAGAACATTAGCGTCATGCCACTCGAATCGGCTGCTCTGTG